TCCAAGTTAGCCCGAAGAAGAAGAGAAAATACGATCTGGTTCAAGCAGTCCGAAAACAGTTTCGAATTGAAAGGGGAGGTAATACGGCTGCGCATCAGCCTACTGCGCAGCGGAACAGTCATGTGGAACAGAGCCGTGCGACTATGCCCCCACGTCGGAATGACGTCCGATTTCATCATGTGTCGGAGAAAGGTCAAATAAGGACACAGAATGTTCACACCCACTCCATGGCCAAGGCATCCCGTACACAAGCGCACAGACGGCCATCTACGATCAATCAGGACAAAGGAACAACCGCCCGAGGACCGGTGTGGGTGTGTGGGAGACACACTGGTTGGTTGACAGCGGATCGACCGTCAAATACGGTGACAAGTGAATCATATATATAGAAGTTTGTAATTGCGTTAATGGACAGTTCCTTCAGGTCGTCTTCTTGTCTTCTGACTATAACCCAGTAGCGTCAGGGCAGGTGAAGAGATACAACACGTCTTTAGGTTATTCATGGCTCTTTTATAACCTGTCTTTCCAGGGAGGAACACACAGTGTTTAAAGGCCTCCTACGGTTTCGCACACCAATAATGGAGAAGGTACATCAATGTATTACTGTCATCAAGGAGCCGATCAGCTACGCTCATTTCGAACGCTTTCATAAACTTCCAGAATTTTATCGGATTTCCGCTGAACTAATCCCTTTCTATTTTCGGTAGGTCAGACCCGGGCGTTGTGGTATAGTAGTCAACACGTTCGCCCTCCAATTCATGCGCCGCGCCTCGAGCCCCGGCCGCACCAACATTTCTAGGCCGGTCAGTAGATGAATGCGTGCACCCGATTTTCCCTGAATTAAACCTCGCAACGAATTTCTCGACCTTCTGCTCAGGGGACGGAAACCCTAGTTCACATTCACTGCATATCGAGTTTCCATCATCAGAGGAGTCATACGGCAACAGCATCTGCTTGCGGGACGCTAACTTCTGCTTTCTAATCTCCAGCTCCTTCAACTCTATTGCGAGCTCTTTATCTAATATCTCATTTTCTAACCTACTTCTCGGTCTACCCGTGTGCCTGCCTGACCTTGCACTACCAGCTACGCTAGGAGAGGATGTTGACAAAATAAAGGAGGCTGAGTAATGCGAATGCCACGAGCAAGTGTTATCGGAAATATCGCTCAGATCGTCAGCAAGTTCTGGGTTCGACGAAGTTTCGAATGACTCACCGCTTCTTTTTCTGGCCATATTGTTTACAAAGTTCCAGATTCCACTTCGGGAAAACGTCTGAGATCCACGGGATACCGGAGGCTTGATTTCCGGATTTGAGTACCATAGATTGATTCCAGCAATCTGTTCAACCACGTCGAGTTACGCGCGACACCCCAAAAGCCAAATCTTTCAACTAGAGGTTTATCTACAAATGCGGTACAGTAAGTACAATGATAAAATTATAAAACCTTACGAACCTCAGATCGTGGGACTATACCGGCTTCTATACACCGGGAACTACGAATTCCTAACTGATCATCAAGTCCACGCCGATACAATGCCACGTGTTTACAAGCCAGCCCAAACACGTGCTAACTTAAACAACACGTCCGATGACAAGGTCAAAGAACGGTTTATGTTCAGGTGAAAAAAAGAGTGGGGGTATAGGTGCAAGCCAAAATAAGAAACAAGGGGGAATCGCGTTGTACAATATAAAAAAAATTAAAGAAAGGAATAAACAGACTGGACATATTCAAGATCGGTGGACCTTGATGCCACCACAAAGGTCATAGCAGCACCTAGCAACTATGATGGTGCATCTATGATCCCTTAAACACCGATTAACCAGAAGCTTCAAGAATGACAGAGAATGCCAGTGGGTTTTGAAGGCCCAGGAGTTGGCGAAGGCTTTTGCTGCAGGCGACATCAGCACCCGGTTTCACCTGATCCGATCAATAGGTCAAAAGAGAGAATGTGCGAAAATGGAAGATCAGCAGTTCAGCCTCTCAATCGGCATCTTGAGCGGTGAGCCGGGCACTTTGAAAAAACAGCCTCTTTTATCACAGCGCCGAGAGAACCGTGTGGACACAAATGAAACCGTGACACCAACTGCATTCTTGCCTAATATTCGAATCCTGGAGCGCGACAAGGCACCTGGCTCGACATTCCTGTGATAATTAGAGTAGTGGTAGGTATCTTAACTACCGAATGTACGCGTAGTATAGAATTCCGAATATGGACGAATGAATATCGTATATTCTCGAATATCGCGGGCGTACCCCCAACTGCATCGTAAAACAAAGGCATACAAAAATACACTAAACATAATGAATAGAATAGAGTCATTGTTCACCACATCCACCACACGTTGAACGAGCCTGCGGGTGTTTATAGTCTCTAATAGGTTGGAACCTCAAACATTCAGATCTTCTCAACGTCGGATTGTCAGGTTCAGTGTTTGTTTCATGCTCATCAGAACCATCTGTAAGAGAATCAGAAAGGTCATTAGTGTTTGAAGCAACAGACGTATTGTCG